TGGGGACATTGGGGACATTGGGACATTGGGGGGACATGGGGACATTGAAGACATTGGGGACATGGGGGGGACATGGGGACATTGGGGACATTGGGACATTGGGGACAGCAGGGGGACAGGGGACACAGGGGACACTGGGGACATAGGGGACATTGGAGACATTTGGGACATTAGGGGGACATGGGGACATAGGGGACAGTGGGGACATTGGGGACATTGGGGGCAGTGGGGACAGCAGGGGGGACAGGGGACACTGGGGACACTGGGGACATTTGGGACATTGGAGACATTGGGGACATTGGGGACAGTGGGGACACTGGGGACATCGGGGACACTGAGTGACAGAGGGGACATTGGGGACATGGGGACATGGGGACATGGGGACATTGGGGACACTGGGGACACTGGGGACACTGGGGACATTGGGGACACTGAGTGACAGAGGGGACATTGGGGACATGGGGACACAGGGACATCAGCACCAAGGACAGCAGCCTGGGGACACGGGGGACATTGGGGACATCGGGGGACACAGAGGGGACACGGGAGTGACACAGGGGTGACAGGGCGGGCGATGGGCCCGACGGTGACACGGGTGGCACGGGGACACGGGTGACAAGCGGGTGGCACGGGTGACACGCGGGTGACAAGCGGGTGGCACGGGTGACACGCGGGTGACACGCGGGTGGCAGGGCGGGGGACGGGCCCGCGCTGACGTCCCTAAGCCGCGTCCCCGTGTCCCCGTGTCCCCGTGTCACCGTGTCCCCGTGTCACCGTGTCCCCGTGTCCCCACGTTGTCCCCGCGTCACCGGCTAATCCTGCCCTGCCCCCCCCGGATTGTCACCACCCCCCCCGGATTGGCCTTGTCATTGTCACCGTCCCTGATCCCCCCGTGCCCGGGCCACCACCGGCCTGGAAGTGGCCCTGTCCCCTCGGTGTCCCCTCCCTGTCCCCTCGGTGTCCCCTCGGTGTCCCCTCGCTGTCCCCTCGCTGTCCCATCCCTGGCCCGGTGCCACCCCTCCCTGTCCCTGCAGTGTCCCCATCTCTGTCCCCAGCCCTGTCCCTGCCCAGGGCCACCTGAGCCTTGGCCTTGTCATGTCCCCTGCCCTGTCCCCTCCCTGTCCCCTTCCTGTCCCCATCCTTGTCCCCATCCCTGTCACCTCCCAACCCCATCCCTGTCCCCTCCCTGGCCCAGTGCCACCCATCCCTGTCCCTGCAGTGTCCCCATCCCTGTCCCCTCCCTGTCCCCTCCCTGTCCCCTCCCTGGCCCAGTGCCACCCATCCCTGTCCCTGCAGTGTCCCCATGCCTGTCACCTCCCAACCCCATCCCTGTCCCCTCCCTGGCCCAGTGCCACCCATCCCTGTCCCTGCAGTGTCCCCTCCCTGTCCCCTCCCTGTCCCCTCCATGTCCTCTCCCTGCCCCCATCCTTGTCCCCATCCTTGTCCCCTCCCATCCCCCTCTCTGTCCCCTCCCTGTCCCCTGGCTGTCCCCAAGCCCACCTGGCAGCCAGCACCGTGTCCCTGTCCCTGTCCCCATCCCTGTCCCTGTCCCCTCTGTCCCCATTCCTGTCCCTGTCCCTGTCCCTGTCCCTTCTGTCCCTGTCCCCATCCCCGCTGTCCCCGCGGTGTCCCCGCGGTGTCCCCGTCCCCTCCCGCGCTGTCCCTGTCTCCCCGTCCCCATCCCCGTGTCCCCATCCCCGTGTCCCCGCGGTGTCCCCATCCCCATCCCCGTGTCCCCATCTCCGTGTCCCCATCCCCGTGTCCCCATCTCCGTGTCCCCATCCCCGTGTCCCCATCCCCGTGTCCCCGCGGTGTCCCCATCCCCATCCCCGTGTCCCCATCTCCGTGTCCCCATCCCCGTGTCCCCATCCCCGTGTCCCCATCCCCGTGTCCCCATCCCCGTTGTCCCCGCGGTGTCCCCATCCCCGTGTCCCCGCGGTGTCCCCGTGTCCCCATCCCCGTGTCCCCATCCCCATCCCCGTGTCCCCGTCCCCGCGGTGTCCCCGCGGTGTCCCCGTCCCCTCCCGCGCTGTCCCCGCGGTGTCACCTGGCGGCCAGCACGGTGGCGCGGCCCGGGGGACAGCCGGCGATGGCGGCCAGCGCCCGGCGGGCCAGCACGAAGAGCCCCGGGAAGAAGAGCAGCCCCGGCAGGCACAGCAGCCCCGCCGGCAGCGCCGGGAACAGCGGCAGCGCCGCCCGCGACACCGGCGACACCGGCGGCGACACCGGCGACACCGCGGCGCCGGGCATGGCCGGGCGGGCGGGGCCTGCCGGCGGGGCGGGGCTCAACGGGAGGAACGGGGGGTGGGCGGCGGGGGGACGGCGGGGACGGAGCGGGGACGGCCCGGGGACGGCGGGGGGACGGCGGGCATGGCCGGAGGGGCGGGGCCAAGGGGACACCGGCGGGGACACCGGGAAACGGGGCGGGGCCCGGAGGGGCGGGGCTGGAGGGGCTTAGGGGCGGGGCCAAGGGGACACCGGGAATGAACGGAGGGGGCGGGGCCAAGGGGACACCGGCGGGGACACCGGGAAAGGGGGCGTGGCTTGAAGGTGGGGGCGTGGCCAATGGGACACTGGGAATGACGGAGGGGCGTGGCTTAAAGGTGGGGACGTGGCCAATGGGACACCGGGAATGAACGGAGGGGCGTGGCTTAAAGGTGGGGGCGTGGCCAATTGGACGCCGGGAATGAACGGAGGGGGCGTGGCTTAAGAGGTTTAGGGGCGTGGCCAAGGGGAGACTGGGGGGACACCGGGAATGAACGGAGGGGGCGGGGCTTAAGGGGTTTAGGGGCGTGGTCAAGTGGACCCCGGGGGATACCGGGAATAGGGCGCGGGGCTTAATGGGTTTGGGGGCGTGGCCAAGGGGACACCGGGAATGAACGGAGGGGCGGGGCTTAAGGGGTTTAGGGGCGGGGCCAAGGGAACACCGGGAATGAACGGAGGGGGCGGGGCCAAGGGGACACCGGAGAGGGCACC